ATTGAAAGATAGGGTAAATGTCATAAAACCAGGATTACCAAAGGCAAACCGATTTTTAGAAAAAAATATCTGGATCAGGGTGTCCCTTTCCAAATCACCAAAAAGGGGCTTATGTAGCTCCTCAAAAAATGGGGCAGAAATGAGGCAAAATCGTTGAAAGATGGGGCAGAAAGGAGCGATGAAACTTCTAAAAAGAGGAAAATGCCGCCAAAAAGAGGTAAAAGCGACATCATGATCTGGATGCATTTTTAGGGAGGTCAGCCTGGTTGAAATTAATTTTTGTTTAAAATCACCTCATCTCCCACTCTAATATGACCAATTGGCATTGACCCACTTTGATTATAAAACTGTGACGTTGAAGCTATACGAACAACTCTTCCCTAAAATAATAAGAAAGTAAGATTATTATGGCAGATATCGGAGTATTTGAAAAAAAATGCATTTTAGTTACCTCAAAAAGTTAACTAAAGCTATGTTTTAGAGATATAATTTGCCTATGCTACAGCATGGCATCCAAAAAATAGTACGAGAGCTTCGCAAAGTACATCCCCATGTACATATGTTGATTTCATTTTGACTTTAGTAATGTGATGAATTTAAACGTTGATATTTTTTATTTAGTTAAAAGTAAGGTTGACGGTTCCTGTGGAATCTTCGGATATCCGGGACGGTATGAAAAAAGTGGGTGGGGGAACCTGTTAAAATTACCAGGTTCTCTTACGCGGCTAATAGAACTTTCAGTTAAGGGTTAAGCCTTATTCAAAAATCCTCGTTTTTTGCATACCGCTCCGGAAAATCCTAACCAAAAATTTCTGATAACAGGGCTTTTTTCGGTTCCTGATACCTTAGTTAAGATAAGAGTTAAGATAGCATTAGTTAAGATAAGAGCTGGACTAAAATTTCGTTTTATGGACGAAAATAAATAACTACCTATAGGTAAAAAGGGGAAGAAAACGCCCGTTAAGGTAAAGGAAAAGAGGAGATTTTAGTTATTACAAAAGGTTAACTAAATCCAAGTTTAACGATATAATTTGCCTATGCTATAGCATGGCATCCAAAAAATAAACGTCCAACATACTCACGACCCCTTTTATGTTGATTTCATTTATACTTTAATAAAGTGCATAATAAAAACGTTGATATTTTTTAGTTTAAAGAGTAATGACGGTAGTTCCACGGAAATCTCTATATTCGGGTCTGTATGCAAAAAAGCGGGTAGGAGAACCTGATACCGAAATAGATAGAGAGAAAACTCACCCGAATGAGATGGTCCCATTTAGCGACTTCGCCAGTGTCTCTACTGCGAGCCTCAATTTTATATTTTTTGTCAATTTCGATGAGAACATTTCCGGGCACCAAATTAATTTCGTTGAATGGAATTCTTACAATAGAATTACCCATAATTAAATCTGTAAATAAAAAATGGAACAAAGCAAGATTATTATGGGAGGTCTTGGGTTTTAAAGCTAAAAGCTCATTTTCAGATGACCTTATGGGTAATTCAAAACTGGCTTTAAGCCAGGGATTTTATCGAGAAAATGTCAAGTGTAAGTACAAAACCACCTAATTCATAAATACATAGTCGGCAAATTTTCCAATTATAAGACGCTATAAAAATTATTTCAAAAAATTTTTTTTGGCTATGAAGGCGCCGCAAAATTCACTTTTCTGCGTCGGAGCCGAAAATTTAACGGATTCTAAGGTTATATTTAACTTTTTAAGCAAAAAGTCGATTTGTAAGATCATACCTACAAATAAGTAAATTTTCTGTAAGTACGAAGGATGACTTGTAAGTACTGTACTTCCAAAATTAGTATGGATAAGATGCCTGTTTTAAGCGATATGATTTGCCTAATGCTCTAGCATGGCATCCAAAAATAAGACTAAACATCCATCTACCCAGTATATGCGTAATATAATTTTAACTTAAAAAATGTGAAAAATAAAAAAGTTGATTAGGAGCAATTGTTTTCTTACCCCGGAAAAGGTACCAGGAAAGAAGAAAATATGTATTTTTGTTGATGTGACAATATCCCCCGTTGTCTTAACAGAATTTTCCCATTGGTGGACAACCTTTTTTATTTGGACGGTATTTTGTTCGACAGTGGTCTGTCCCTAAAGCTACTTTGTCTAGACGGTGTTTTAGCCTAACATGCAGTTGACAAATAAAAAATAAAATTTTAGGAGTTTAAAGTTGCGATGATAAAAAATAAATGATAAAAATAAAAGTTTAAATAAAAAGATAAGGAATGAACTCCAAAATTTAAGACAAAACAAACAAGTTTAAAAATATTTTTTTTAATTTAATAGTGAAATAGTGACGTGCTATTTTAAAACAATTAGAGAGGTTTTATAACCAAAGCACTATTAGTTAAAAATAAAATCAATATTTGCTTGACAATGAAAAGGTGTTGGGGTGGAAACCTCATTTAAAGGCATTTCAGTAAAGACACCCGTACCCAGCATACACTCTGTTAACTAATTATACGCACCCCCTATTTTTTGGGTTTTTCAAACTTAAATTGGAATGTGGATTTCTAGTTTTCTGTGTTTTAAATCTACAAGCTAAAAGCCATCTATTATCATCAAAATTTTAAATTTAAGAATTTCCCTTCCAGACTTATGGACATCTTTTCCAATAATTAGTGTTAACTAATTATACGCACCCCCCTCTAAAATTTTTATTTATCATTCGAAAAATCCACAAAAATTTATCTGAACATACCTATCAATATAGATAGGAAATACAAAAGAAACGAAGTTCTAATTCGATTCCTTCATCGAGATATCGAAACTCGAAAATCAACGTAAAACGGGGGTAGAGGTCTATAAAAAATATTTTCGACCCCTTATAGGCTGTATTAAATTTTCATTTTATACCTTTCTGAAAGCCCTTTAAATTTGCAATAAACCCACCAATTTTCATTTTTTTGAAAATTTTTTTCATTGAGTTATACAGGATTGAATCCTAAAGCTGCAAAAAAGCCAGTTTTAAGGGTAAATTTTATGATTATGATGTTCGGTGTAAATTCTTCCATGTAAAATTTTTTTTTCATTTAATAATATTAGAGGTTTCATATAGCAAATTTAAAGGGCTTTCAGAAAGGTATAAAATGAAAATTTAATACAGCCTATAAGGGGTCGAAAATATTTTTTAAAGACCTCTACCCCCGTTTTACGTTGATTTTCGAGTTGCGATATCTCGATGAAGGAATCGAATTAGAACTTCGTTTCTTTTGTATTTCCTATCTATATTGATAGGTATGTTCAGATAAATCTTTGTGGATTTTTCGAATGATAAATAAAAATTTTAGAGGGGGGTGCGTATAATTAGTTAACACTAATTATTGGAAAAGATGTCCATAAGTCTGGAAGGGAAATTCTTAAATTTAAAATTTTGATGATAATAGATGGCTTTTAGCTTGTAGATTTAAAACACAGAAAACTAGAAATCCACATTCCAATTTAAGTTTGAAAAACCCAAAAAATAGGGGGTGCGTATAATTAGTTAACAGAGTGTATGTGTAATATAATTTTAACTTTAGAAAAGTGAAGAATAGAAAGGTTAATTATGAGTAGGATGCCGCAGGCTTTTCAGCGCCGCAGGCGAAAATTCTAAAATTTTAAAGGTTATATTTAATTTTTAACCAAAAAGTTCGGTTATAATGCATATCTAAAAATAAGTAAATTTTTAATTATGTAAATGAAGGACGATTTTACAAAATAAGTACGGATAACATGCTTGCTTTAAGCGATATGATTTGCCTAATGCTCTAGCATGGCATCCAAAAAATAAGATTACGAGAACCCAACACCCGTAATTGTGTAATATAGTTTTAATTTAATAAACGTGAAGAATAGAAAAGTTGATTATGAGTAATTGTTTTCCATTTCCGGAAAAAATACCGGGGAGTGATAAATTAAGAATAAAAGTTTAAATAAAGATAAGGAAGGAACGTCAAAATTTAAGACAAAACAAACAAGTTTAGAAATATTTTTTTAATTTAAGATTGAAAGAATAATGTGTTTATTCTAAAACAAATGGAATGTTTTTACGTGAAAATAAAGTAACTAATTTAGATTTCAAAAACGCTGTTTTTGGTTTTGAATTTTGGTCAAACACCGGTTTTATTCTAGGGAATTTTTTAATAAATCTCTAATTTTTACAAATTTCCGGTTTTTGGTTTATTTTCATGAGTGAAAGGGCGGCATCTTATACATAAGGAAAAATTGGCGCCACTCCTTGCAGAAAAAAAATGCAAGGAAACGAGTGAAAAGTGCGTATTCTCTTTGCGGACAGGTGGGGAGTCAACTGGTGATTTTAGTATAATAATTTACTTCATTTGATTTAATTAATTAATTTAAGTTTAAATTCATTGGAAAATTTACTTTTTCGGTCATGCTAAGATTTTAAAGAGCTTAAGAAGCCAGATATCTTGGAGGGTAACGAGCCAAGAATTCCTTGCATAAAAATCGTCGGTTTTTCATTTCCGAAACGCAACCCTATTTATAGTTTTTTCTCGGAATGCTACTTTCTGTGGGTTGTCCGAAATTTGCTAAAGTTTTATAAGAATAACTGTTTATCCAAGTTAGAAAGTTACAATGAAGATTGAGTCATTGATGTTGGATCAAATGGAGGGGATTCGGCTCTATCGAGGTACAGATTGATTTGCTTTTATAATTTATTACACCAATACCCAACACTAAAAACAGAGGGAAAGGAAAACATTTTATTAAAACATGTGTGGAAACGTCAAAAACAAAAATCTGATGAATCAAATAAATTATTTAATATGGCATCATTTTTTCACTATACATTGGAGGTTGATCAGACGAACCTCCTCCATTGCCCAAATTGATAGCAACATCCCATTCATTGAAAACAAAGAGACGAACATTTTCTTCGACCTCAATAGGATAGCCTTTGCGTCCACGAACCCAAACCTTTAATGAAAATATTATTTGGAGTATTTTATATTGAGTAGAATGGACTTTCTGTATCAAAAATGGACCTTTTCGGTATCAGTACTATTATTTGGTAACCGAAAGGTGCCGAACACTATTAGTGAGTCACTATTAAATTTATTTTTGTATAAAATCACCTCGTCTCCCACTCTAAGATGACCAATTACCATTGCCCCACTTTGGTTATAAAACGGTGACACTTCAGCTACACGAACAACTCTTCCCTAAAATAATGAGTAGGATGAACAGTAATTATTTATCCACCCGAATTAAACAGTCCGAACTAGACATATCACCAGTGTCTCTGCTGCGAGCATCGAATTTATATTTTTTGTCAATTTCAATGAGAACATTTCCGGGCACCAAATTAATTTCGTTGAAGGGAATTTTTACCATGGAATTGCCCATAATTATGAATTTAAAAATCAGGTCCCGGACAACTCTTCTCTAAAAGTTTTTGGTGTTTAATACAGGAATGATTTACAAAAATAACGGTTAAAATAAAGATAAGAAAAAATAGGCCAAAAATTAAGACAAAACAAACAAATTTGAAGAATTTGAAAAATATTTTTTTTCAAATTTAAAGCGAAAGGATGACGTGTATAATTTCAAAGCAAATGGAGTGTTTTTATGTGCAAATAAAGAGTTGTATGAAAATAAAAGCCAATATTTATTTATTCGAAAAGAAATAAACACACAAGTGGAAAACTTCTTTTAGTCATTATTAGTGTTGTGCCCAGACGGAGAAGGAGAGGGGAGGGGGGTGGGGAGAGGAGGCGGGGAAATTTAAAAGTCTCCCCGCCTTTTGGCAACGGGGTGCAATCCTAGATTTATGTTATTTTTGAACTTTTCTTCTCCATTTTTTCTTTATCTGCTCTGTCTGCCTCATTTACAAGTTTACTTGATATAATTTAATTAATTAATTTAGGTTTAAATATTTTTTGAAAATATTGTAAATTGTTTGATTCGTTTACCGAAGAGTTATTTTTGTATGTCTCATTTAAGCAGACAAAAAGTCAATCATATTTATTGAACACAGCAATTTAACCTGCAACCAAGAGATGTTTCAGTGGCAATGAAATAAATATGTAAAAATACTTTCTATTACTCTATTTCGCTCTATTTTTTTCGCGTGCTATTTCTCTAAAGATTTGATGTCCAACTTCGAAAAGCTTTATTTGATTGAACGCATAAAAATTCAAGGACGCATAAACTAGACCAGCGCCGAATTTTCTTTTATGTTAGAATAATCTGTATTTTCTAGTTTATTCCATTTGCTATCTAATTCATTCAAGTTATTCGATGGCCAAAAATGGCCTTTAAAATATATAAAATTAAACGGCATTAAATATAAAAAAGACGGCAAAATAAAAAGGGAAAATTTTAATGCCCTTTTGATGTACTTTATTTTTGTCTTACCGCCAAATCAATAGGCAATTTAAAATAATAAGGTGAAGGGGAGAGGAGAGACGCTATTTACAAATTTCGGCAATCTTTATAAAAAAATTTACATTCGCATAAAGCCAGACTGTCTATTATTTTATACATATTTGTACTTTTTTCATTTTCATTTAACGGGATTTAAACTCACCTATTTAATTTCATTTATTAGCATTACAATGCTAAAATTTCATCTATTAATTTATTTAATATTACTGTTCAAAGTATCTGAAGTAAATTCAGGAAGTAAGAAATTAATGAATATAAGAAAAATTATACCCTTATTATAAAATTCTCAAAAAAGGTTTCTAGAAAGCCGAAACCATGTCCATATTTAAAGATTGGCGTTTTAGGTAATACTGAACCATACAGATTGTAGGCAAAAATTAGAGAGGCAAATTGCACGGAAGGAAGGAAAAGTCTGACCATTTTGTAAAAATATAAGGGGAAAAATGGGGAGGAAAAAATCGGGTCTGTATGCTTCAGTATTACCACGTTTTATATCAAAGACACTTTGTAGATTAGGCTCCTGATATTGTGTGCGATGTTATCACAATCGGTTGTGCTTCTGTTTGGCTCATTCCGTGATGGTCCTATTCCATCTCTGTTCCACATCATGAATTTAATCCTATTTAGACAAAAAAATTATAGTTTAATATTTTATAGGGGTTATGAATAAAACTCAGCGTAGGATTAAAAATATTTTAGTATAAATCTATACAAAAAATGATAAATTTTGTGCCAAATTTCAATTAATAATTTTTTAATTCTTAAAATTTAAGATTGCTGCATTCGACCTCGGGGAACGCAACACCATGAAACCAATATTACTGAACACGCTGTAATCGAAGAAATTGAACAGGGAGAAGCAGTCGAAGATGCTAGATTTGCTGCTGAGATAGATAAATTTTATGAATCACGCCCGGAAATGTATAAAGGCGAAAAAGAAACCGCGATAGAGCTTCACAAATGAATGAAAGAGGCCGGACCTTCAACAATAAATTTGCCTACTACAGGTGTTTTTACTATTCTACAGCCCCAAAATTTATTTTTTTCGTCTTGCACCTAAGGGGCTACCGGATTCAGAAATTATGTGAAATTTTTGACCAATTTTTAATTAATTTTATAGTTATGGCCCCAGATGAATCGCAAACAACTAAATTTGTTGATGCAATTATGCGAGCCTTTGATACTATTACGGAAAATAACAGTGTTTGTATTTTAAAATTTGAACAGAATAAAAGCTGCTATTTGTATACGATGTATAGTGCGTCTTTGCTCTTTCTTGAGTTTTTCGTCCAGCTCTCTGGCAGAGTTGGACGAAAATAAAAATTCTCTCTATATATAAAAATCTATGATACCTAGTATTCGGTTTTCTTACCATTTTTGCATATTTTTGTTAGTTTTGACATTTTAGCTTTTTGATTCAAAAATTATGTTCCATTTTTAAATGAGATATATAAATACCAGGGCTGGCCTAGCCCTGATAAATACACTACAATGTAAAATCTCAAAATTTTTATTTAAAGAATTATGATTTTAATTTTTACATAGATATATAATTAAGGATCCAATACTTCTACTTAGAGAAGCTAAGGATATTCTGGACCAAATATTATCAAAAATAAATTTTGTATGTATGAATGATCCACGATCTACGCCGTTTTTTGCCGCTATTGCCAGCGTATCAACAAAACATTGCAATGCTTTGGTACGGAGGGGAATTAGTCCGACAATTAGCAGCAGGACAATGAATGCTGTATTTGCGCCTGAGGATGCTTATAATTCTTATGGTACTGGACAAACCGAAATAGTCGCAGAAACGGATGAAGATGATCTGATCCCTGATATTCAAGACAGGGAAAAGATAATAAATGTCTGTCAAATAGGAGTATATTTGGCTATGTGCAATCTGATATTAGATATTAAAATAAAAAAATTGACCAAAAAATAAAGGAAGAATTTGTTAATAAAATGGTAAATTATAGAAATTCTTTTAATAATTAACTTTAAAATTTTTAAAGAAATCCCTTTCAAAGTATAACCATGCTTGGAATGAAGCGGTCGAAATTATTCAAGGAAATGAAGTCGAGCTCATGGTACGTGGTTTCATCCGTTTGCCTTTTACTGCACTTTCCGATAGAAACTGAAAGGTGGGAGGAGGAGGGTTTCCTCAAAATACAAGGGTTTCCTTTAATCCCAAAGTTTGGAAGAGTGCTCCGTAAGACTCCAAATACTACTTGGCCCTTCAGACAAAAGCCACTTATAATTATTTTTAAAAGCAACAAGGACGTTTGGGTGAGATGAACCTGAATAATTTACAAGTCGTTATAAAGAATGGATTGAAAAAACCGAAAATGAAAAAGAAGAAAAATTTAAATTAACTATTTTAATGTGATGGCCTAAATACGGCCCAAGTCTAAATACATACTCTTTAGTAGTTATTCAAAAACACTTCATACTATTAACTGGTTTTTCTATCCCTTTCAAATTAATTATGTCCTCTTCTAGTTATTTAAACATAATACATGCTTTAGTCATTTCTTCCATATATTTTTAGTCTAAAATAATCTAATTGTAGTTCCAAATATTAAATTATAAAAATTATTTGATAGATTTAAATATAAAAACATAATTTTGCAGAAGCTGTGTAAATTATTATTAAACTACTATTAAACTCACAATTTAATGTTTTTATCTTAGCCAGTCAAATGTCTGTTCCAAAACTTCAAAATTATATTCCGATCCGATATTCTGATACATTCGTATCAGAATACATTTTTGATTTTATTCGTGCATTTTTCGATTTTAGATAACAAAGATTGCCAGTTTAAAAGTATTGTTGTTGTTTAGACTCTGTCCAAGTACCAACGAAATAATAACGAGATAATACATTAACGCAAAGCTTGATTTATCACGCTAATAATATATCCATACAATATCTGCGTCCAAAAGAACATGGCTTAGCTCCGCACATGTTGTTGGAAGTAAAAGTCCAGCTCGCTATCTATATGGCTGCAAAAGGCATTATGCAAAAATCATATTTTTTGCTTATTCTATGCAACAATACAATAGGCTACAACATAACAGTAACACTATTCTAACAATAGACTAACTCTCGACTACTAAAAGGCTACGCATTGTATACTAAACACGCCACCCTACACGTATAAGTGAATAATATTTAATACCTTAATTTAATGCGGTTCTCAACATTCATACAAAATATTTCATTAAAAATAAAATTTTCAATTAAATTCAAGATAAATTTTATCTAAATTTAAATAAAAAAATAATTTTACATAACATAAAAAATTATGTCAAGCTCGTAAAAACTTATTTACCGTTTATGCTTTAAGAATAATACAGGGTCATGCCTTCAAATAACTCTTCTACACCCAAAAGCTCTCCACCCAAAAATTTCACGCTATAATCATTTGAAATTTTCAAGACTCAATTGTACCCCTTAAGACTCAACAGTTCCCCTCACAACCATGCCCATTATTTTTCTCTTGGCCGATTACCCCTTACCCCCCAAGTTCCATCTCAATCGGTTAAGCCGCTCTAGAGATATAAAAAACCAACAAAAGACCGCTACCCAGTGACGACGACAAAATGCCACCATTTAAAAAGGGTTATCCAAGCAAAACGCCACTTTCCCTTGACATTTTGGCATAAATTTTTTTTTGAGTTTCCTTGTGATGATGTTCCTTCTTAACTTTTAATTTTATTTTATATTTAGCATAATGCTAGTGTAGCTTAAATAATAAGTATCATATAACACGAGACTCTAAACAAATAATATCAGGCACCTGTTAACGAACAAGCTTTTGGTAATTGGTAAAGCTCATTTAAAAGGTACATAGTTTGAGAGATGGATAATTTAATAGTATCAAAGTACTATAGTAAACAATTACACATTTTTGTGTTTATTAATTAAATGAAATTATAGAGCTGAGCATATATTATTTAGAGTAAATTAATC